AACAGTAAGCAGTTAGAAGGTTAAAGATCAAATATCATTTATAACATGAATAAAATAAAATATTCTGTTGGGAAACAAAGTCAAAAGACTAATGACAAAATGGACATTCTTTGCAAATCATAATAAGTAAAAGGCTTATTTCTCTAAAATATGAAGAGCTCCTAAGAACCAATAACAAAAAGATTAAGAGCCTAAAAAAAAAAATAGTAAAAAAACAGGTCATAGAAATGAAAATACAAATGGCTAGGTTGATTGGGCTCACTCTAAACCAGTGGTTCTCAACCTGTGGGTCGAAGGACCCTTTCACAGGGGTCGCCTAAGACCATTGGAAAACACATATATAATTACATATTGTTTTTGTGATTAATCACTATGCTTTAATTATGTTCAATTTGTAACAATGAAAATATATCCTGCAGATCAGATATTTACATTAAGATTCATAACAGTAGCAAAATTATAGTTATCAAGTAGCAACGAAAATAATTTTATGGTTGGGGGTCACCACAACATGAGGAACTGTATTAAAGGGTCGTGGCATTAGGAAGGTTGAGAACCACTGCTTTAAACTAATGACAACACACTTCAAGTGGGCTCCTAATGCTGCCCACTAATCACACTGCTTCTTATTTCAATTATTCTCATTTTTTTCCTAGAGGAAAACATGACCTTCTCTCCCATTCTCATTCTGTACTGTTACTAACCAAGTCTGAGCCATCCCAACCCTCACCTGGATTATTCTAATTGCTCCTAACTGGTATCTGCAGCTATTCAACTATAGGAATCATCAATAAACTGAAGGGAAAAAAACCTTGTATATATCCATGATTATTTATTAAAAATAACAATATTTATTCAAATATCAATAGAATATGTATTCAAAAAGTAAATATTTAACTGAGCACCTACTATTACTGAGCACTGTTCATGTTTGGGGCATGGCAGAAAACAAACAAGCAAAAAAACAAAAAACAAAAACAAAGTCTGTGCACTCACAAAACATATTCCAGATAGGGAGACTGACACCCATATAAATATATGTGTCAGATGATGAATGTCATAGAAGAAAAATCAAGCAAGGAGAAAGCAACTGTAACCACTTAATGTTTTTCTAAGGGCAGTCAAAGAAGCTCTCCCAAATAAGATGACATTTGCACAGAGACCTGTGAAACTTAGGGACAGAGCCTTGCAGATATCAAAGTAGAGAACAAATTCAAGCACTAAAGAAAGTAAATTCTAGGCATTAATAATGCAATTATAGTGCTTAAAAATCTTTAAAAATTTGATGGACCTGAAAATCTCTCCTTTATCACCTATGATAAAAATAAAAATTCAAAAGTAGTTCACACCTATTTCAGGTATGAGCTAAGTTGGTTGTTGTTAGTACATGTGAAAACGATGAACTTCTGTCCACAACAGAGAGGCCTAAACTAAACACTGAGTATTCACACCATGTTTAGTTTAAAAATAAATACAAATAACCTTCTTCCCTTCAATGACCCTCTAAATTTTGGCTGTTTTTACTGAAAAACATCCTTTTAATTTTATCCTGAAAACAACATGGAGAATGACTTTCTTTCAAAACAAGTTCTCTCTTGAAGAGAAACACATGTTCAAAGAACAAACAACATTCCAGTATCTGACTTAAGGCTACTTAATTTCAGCAGGATGATGTCATACTTAGGCTATTAAACATATTCCTGTACATGGTTCTCAACCTTCTGGCCCTTTAAATACAGTTCCTCATGTTGTGTCCCAACCATAAAATTATTTTCGTTGCTACTTCATAACTGTAATGTTGCTACTGTTATGAATTGTAATGTAAATATCTGATATGCAGGATGGTCTTAGGCGACCCCTGTGAAAGGGTCGTTCGACCGCCAAAGGGGTCGCGACCCACAGATTGAGAACCGCTGCCTGTACATACTATTTCTTCTGCAATTCTATAAGTCAGGCCTATTCATGGAAGCAGACCCATCATTTTATGCAATTAGAGAACAATAAAGAGAACATGTTTGAAGTACAAATACATTCCCAGTAATAAATAATTTCTAAGGGAAATTTAAGAGAGAAATATCCATGTGAGAGAAACACATCAATTGGTTGCCTCCTGCATGAGCCCTGACCAGGGCCTAGGCCAAGGAGGAGCCTGCAACCAAGGTACATGCCCTTGACCGGAATTGAATTCGGGGCCCTTCAGTCTACAGGCCGATGCTCTATCCACTGAGCCAAACCGGCTAAGTCCAACGCATCACTTCTTATCCTGCCACTCAGCCTGGGCTCCAGTGACCAGGTCCCAGGGGGCACGGCAGGCCTCAAGCCCAGGAAGTAGCAGAAGTGGTGCTGAACACAATGAGTGACCAGAAAGTAACAACAGCAGCTGAAGTAATAACAGTAATTGCTATACTCCCATTGTTAAATACCAGTGAGAATATAGCAGCAAGAAGAGAAGTGTAACACTGGTAGAGGTACTTACTTACTTAAATTTAGCCAGAGCTTACCAGGAACCAAGCACTCTCCTAAGTGCTTTATAGTTATTAACACCTTTAATCCCCACAATAATCTTATTGTTGGTCACAATTTTGATTACACCCATTTTACAGATGAGCCACAGATTAAATAATTTGCCAAAAGCCACATGGTTTGTAAAGGATAGGGCCAGAATTTAAACTTGGCTCCTACAACTTCCAAAGTACCAGTAGTAGAAGCAAAAGTAACAGAGGCAGACGCTGAATGCTAACGATCGGAGCAGCAGCAATGGTGGTAATAGTGTGGGCAATAGTGGCAGAAGTAGTCATGGTAATAGCACCACTAGTAATGGTAGTTGCGGTAGTGATATCAGAGAGCCGTAACAACAGTAATCATGGTGGCAACAATAACAGTACTGGTAATGAGATGACAGTATTAATGGCAGCAGTAACAGTTACAATAACTGATAACATTTTTGAACACCTACTATGTTCCAGGCATCAGAGTGAGGTGTTTCCACAACATTAATCCTCACCAAAAGCTGTGAGGAAGGAGTTCTGACACTTTACAGCCAGGGTGACTAAGGCTTGCAGTGGTTCAATGATTCCCTGGCGTCACACAGCTGAGAAGAGACAGAGCCAGGCCCTTCTACCCCCAAGGTTGGGTTCTCTCTCCTTCTGGGGTCCCAAGTCCACCCCCTTCCCTGAAGCTGCCTAAGAAAGCATAGCCCCTGCTTGCTGCTTCCAGAGGCAGAAGTGTATGCCTTCACCTGGCACCATTAGAAGGACAGTCTATTACCCCACATCCCCTACTCCTTGTTCCCAAACCTACCCCTCAGCCCACTCCAAACACATCCACTCCCTTTGCCATGACAGCTTGTAGAGGTTGAAGGCAAAGATCTTATCCTAATCCACTGATTTCTTTCAAATCTTCTTGCTTATAACATGGGTTCCTGACCTCTCTCCACCCTGCTTGCCCTTCTCCAGGCATGATGTCTAGAACAGGGCCAATTCTGGAAATGGGAGAGTAGTAGAAGAGTCACCTTCTTCCCTCTGGCATGACCTCTTTTAAAACAGCTTGAGATTACAAGAGCTTCTCACTCTGGTGATGCCCTAAGTTGACATCCTAAACCAGTGATGGCGAACCTATGACATGCGTGTCAGAGGTGACACGCGAACTCATTTTTTTGGTTGATTTTTCTTTGTTAAATGGCATTTAAATATATAAAATAAATATCAAAAATATAAGTCGTTGTTTTACTATGGTTGCAAATATCAAAAAATTTCTATATGTGACACAGCACCAGAGTTAATTTAGGGTTTTTCAAAATGCTGACACGCCGAGCTCAAAAGGTTCGCCATCACTGTCCTAAACCCTTGGTCACTCCTGGGTCTGCTTCTCTTTGACCTGCCTGACCCTGGGCCCTTTCTGTGGTTATCTGAGACCCTCTAGCTCAGTGGTTCTCAACCTTCCTAATGCCGCGACCCTTTAATACAGTTCCTCATGTTGTGGTGACCCCCAATTTCATTGTTACAAATTGAACATAATTAAAGCATAGTGATTAATCACAAAAACAATATGTAATTATATATGTGTTTTCCGATGGTCTTAGGCGACCCCTGTGAAAGGGTTGTTTACCCTCCAAAGGGGTCGCGACCCACAGGTTGAGATCCGCTGCTCTAACCAACTGAGCTTCCTAGGGGGCCTAAATGGAAACAATGGGAAGTAGAAAGTTTTCTCCCACAAGTTTTTGGTTGTCCTCTCTGAGCATCAGATTTAAGGGATTCTATATTCAACCAATCATTGTTCCCCTCCTGAAGGACACTGGTTCAGTGGTAACTTAGTGAGTGTTCCTCAGGGAAAGGGTTCCCAGGTCAAATCAGTTTGTGAAACTCTGAGCAAAACAGGCTCCTTCCCAGGAGAAGTCAGGGCCTTTGTGCATCTTTGCAATGGGCCTGGGACTCTCCCAGAAAAGGGTGTTTCCCAAACCTGGTTCTTTAAATGACTGTTTTTCTAAGTATGTGACACACAAATACATTCCCCTTGAAAAGAAAAGTCTCAAATTACAGTTAAAGCTAAAAAAAAATTAATATCCCAATATATATTTAAATAAAATTTAAAAGCTATAGTTAAATAAAATGTAAAAGTTATATTTAAAATTTCTTTGTAAAAAGAAAAGAAATAAAAATATCCAAGAAAACTTTGAGAAGAAAAAAAAAAGATAAGAGTGAAACAAACTATTAAGTATCTAAAGAAAATACAAGGCTATAATAATTTAAAATTAACACTGGATCAGAGAAATGGATAAGTGAAAAAGAGAAAGAGCATAGAAGCACTTCGTGATTATACGGTGACATTTCAAATCAGTAGAGAAAGGATAACCCAACTACTCAGAAATAGCATTAGAACAATATTCATTTAGAAAAACATAGAATAGTTAGATCCTCACCACATAGCATGCATGTATTAAAATAACCCTAGCTGCAGAAACAGATAAAAACCCTAAATCTGTCACTTAATCAAGTACTCACTGATTTCTTGCTCATGTAAAGTTCAATAGGTGGTTGTATAGGGTTGGGGGATCTTCTCAATGTAACCATGGTTTATAGAAATGTCACCATCTTCAAAATCTCTCTTGCAAGGTTGCCCAAGATGTCAACATTTAGCTGGAAAACAAGGAAAGAAATATGGGAGAATGCTAGGAAAGTTTTGTGGGACAGGTGAAAATCATGTAATCATCTTTACCCATATTCCATTGGCTAGCATTTGCCTACCTTTAAGGAGGCTGGGGAATGTAATTTAGCCAGTTACCTAAGGAAAAGAAAAGTATGAATATATATATATATATTTTTTTTTCTTAGAGAGTTTTTAATGCAGTATGCCCTTCTGGTTACTAAGTATCCTACCAAATCTAGAGCACATTTCCTCTTTCCCCAAGTGAGACAATCTAAAATTCTACCTAGTTATTGCAACCAGCTCCAAGTCCAAGAGCTCTGAATGACGCATGGTTTTTTTTTCTGTCAGTTCTGAATATGGCCCATTAAGGTTCAGTGACACTTGCACTAAACACACAAGTTATAGAAATCTCTCTACTGCCACCTGGCCCAACCTACTATGTTGAAGAAGTACAGGAGACACACAGAGGCACTGGTCGATCTGGCAGGCATTTTGAGGTCCCTATGATATAGCAGTGGGGACATCTCCTTAATTTGAACTTTGCTAGGTGGAAGAAACTACTTATTTAAATGTTCTTCCCAGCCCTGGATTTACCCTTATGCAGGTTCTCTTTTGTCCATTGTCACATTCAAAATAAATGATGGGGACTGTGCCTTCCTTGGGGTCCTTTATAGTTTTCGTAAACTTCCCTGAGCAAGTTTGGGAGCCCCCAAATACCTTTAATGACAGAGCATCTTTAGGCTGCTGAAGTGCAGGCTTGCAATTTCATTGCCATTACAAATAGGCAGATTATTGTTTTTTGAGGGAAAGTTCTCTCTATTCAGTTACATATGCTAGTAGCATTTCCCAAAGTTCTTTCTTAAATGCAAATCTCAAGCCTGTCTTATTTTTCTCTTCCTTTGCCCCATACCATCATGTTTAGGAGGAAATACCACACCTTTACTCAGGTGTGTAATGGTGGAGCCAGAAGTCTTCATGGACCTTTGTGTATATCTACTATCATCTGGGACTAGATGCTTTTCCATCATTTTACATTTTGTTTTTTCATGCTGTCAAAGTAACAAATTATCGCCACATCCCATATCTTTTTTTTTTCTATCACCTTGATAAATGTAGGTAATAACAATCAACATTCATTACCAACATTCCATTTTCTAACCTCATTCCCTAGAGCAAAGGGTTCCCTAGACATGTGATCCATATTCTAATTGCAAATGACCATTGAACAATCATTTTGTCACTACATGACACAAAGTTTGTTTTCTCACCCTGGATATTAGCTTTTATCTTGACTGTCTGTTGGACTAATGCCATGTGTCTTGGATTTTTTTAATAATGGAATTCTTGTAGCAACAACTTCTGCGTCAGAGTAATGATACCTGTCCTGTTTTAAAAAAATCCCCAATTTTCTGATTTAACAGTGCTTTTGTTTGTTTTTTTAAATATATATGTTAAATATATATTGATTTTTTACAGAGAGGAAGGGAGAGGGATAGAGAGTTAGAAACATCGATGAGAGAGAAACATTGATCAGCTGCCTCCTGCACACCCCCCACTGGGGATGTGCCCACAACCAAGCTACATGCACTTGACTGGAATTGAACCTGGGACCTTTCAGTCCGCAGGCCGACACTCTATCCACTGAGCCAAATCGGTCAGGGCACAGTGGGGTGTTTTTTGTGTGTTTTTTTTAAATAACAAATCCAATTGGCTTAAGTGGAGGAAAGGGTTGATGACCATGATTCTCAGTCACTTAGGTTCCCAGACTGATGGCTGTTTCTTCATTTTAAAAATAGGGTCTTCTAATGTCTTCCTAGGAACCCACATCCATCTGAGGGATAAAAGAAGAGTGGAGGATAGAAGAGGATTTTATGGGCCAGACCTGGAAATGTTTTATAAAGTTTTCACCCATATTCCAGTCAAGCAATTCTTAAGTCACAAGACCCCAACCTAACTTTAAGAGAGATGTTGATTACTTGTGTACTAATTGACTTGATTAAGCAGTTTGCCAATCTCTGCCAGGATACACAGGGGTATATTCCAGATGGTTAAGAAAGGTAAACATAAACCTATAAAAAGTACTAGTGGAACTACAGAATTATTTAGGGATGTCAAGAACTCTTCAGGGCATGGGAGTTCCATGGGCCTACTACAGAGAGCACTTAGAAGACGGGGGCAGAGCAAAGATTAAACTGTCCTTGATGGTGAAAGAAAAGGCTGCTGTTGCAGCAGGGAGGAAATACCTACCAGGATCCTTCTTTCCTGCTGAGGAAAAAGCCTTAAGCTACTGTAAGATCATCAGATACTGTCAATCAGGACACAAGTAAAGACTCACTGTAGCATGGGTAAAAGGAAATACACTCTACCCGTGGGAAGAGTCAGGAGGCCATCCTGCAGCCAGACTTGGGAAGGGGCAAGAAACAGTCCAAGCAAGATTCACCAAACATACAGTGAAGAGTTTAGCTGCCACAAAGAAGAGGGGTAGGAGCATTGAGAAAGCCATAATCCTAAAATCTACTCACAGTCTAAGTATAAAAACCATGAAAAGTATTTTAAAGATCAAGGGCTCAAAGAATTCTTCCCATGGTTCTTTTCAGAGGAATTTACTAGAAACTGAACTTCATCCAAACAAAAAAGAGTGGGAAAACTTTAGCAATTTAGTTTTAATATAACTTAATTGCAAAAATAAGATTAAAACTAAGGGGAACAATCCTATATAATCCTATATAATAAAAGCCTAATATGCTAAGTGTCCAGTTATCTGATCGTCTGTTCAACCAATCAAAGCGTAATATGCTAGTGATATGCCAAGGCCGCTCAACGGCTCCCTATGACGTGCACTGACCACCAGGGGGCAGACGCTCAGACTGGTAGGTTAGCTTGCTGTTGGGGTTCAGCTGATTGGGACTGGAGACCTCCCGTGGTCCCTCCCTGGCTGGCCAACCTCCCATGTCCCTCCCGGCCCTGATTGTGCACCAGTGGGGTCCCTCCCCTGGCCTGTGCCCTCTCGCAATCCAGGACCCCTAGGGGATGTCTGAGAGCCAGTTTCCGCCCGGTCCTGCAGACCAGGCCTAGGGACCCCACTGGTATACAAATTCGTGCACCGGGCATATAATGTTATGTAACAGTGCTCTATGCCTTGTGTTGTATGTTCCAATAAAATAAAAACAATGCATCTAAAAATGGGAGGAGAATGGAGATGAAACAAGGAAAGTAGAATAAACTCATTAACTGTGATTTAGATAAGTAAAATTTAAGAAATGTTATTAAAAATTGACAATACAAATTATAGATAAAAGAAATAAGGAACTAAGGGCACTAAACAAGGTGTAAACACAGATAACTACTAGAACAAAAATGTTAACCTCCCTAAATACCAAATTTAGGAATTTCTTTTAAATATAAAACATAGCAAGCACATTATAAATAGAAACAATGAATTATTACAGCATAAATCTGATAATTGAAAGCAAGCATATTCATGTTATCAACAATTGTGGAAGGGTTTAATGTGCTTATCAAAAGGAAAGATTTTCAACTTTCATAAAGATCCAACTATATAGTATGCTCTATTCAAGAGACATGCATAAAACAGAAAGGCTAAAAATAAAAGGATAGTCAAAGGTATTCCAGGGAAATGGCAACACTAAGAAAGCAGGAGCAGCAACACTGATATCAGATAAAGTAAAAGGCAAACAATAGTAGAGGAAGATTTTCTAACTATGATTCCAAATCCATATGCAAAAATGAAATAGAAGAAAATGAAAAGAGAAATGATATATCTAACTACATATTAGTAAGTGGCAGACAAGCATGATAAAAAGGAAATCTAAGACAACTGACAAATTTGGAAAAAATATTTGTAATACATTTAACAGATAAAAGGCTAGTATTTATTTTAATATAAAAATAAATCTTAAAAATCAGGGGGAAAACACAAAAACAAAAAATAACTCACTTGCCCTGGCTGGTGCAGCTCAGTTGTTAGAGCATCAGCCTGCACACTGAAGAGTAGTGGGTTTGATTCGTCAAGAGCATGTTACCTGGGTTATGGGCTTGCTCCCCGCCCCTGGTCAGAGTGCGTGTGGTAGGCAATCAATCGATGTGTCTCTCTCACATCAATGTTTCTCTGTTTCTGCCTTTCCTCCTCAGTCCCTTCCACTCTCTCTGAAAAGCAATGGAAAAAATATCCTTGGGTGAGGATTAACAAAAACCCAAAACAAAACAAAACAAAATAACTCCTCACCAATGAAAAAAAGGGCAAGACAATAAATTCACAAAAATTGACTCAAACTTAAAATTAAAAAGTATTCAACTGTACCCATAGTAAGAAAAGTACATAGTAAAACTATATTTCACTCATCCAACTGGTGAAAATAAAAATGTAAAAACACCAAACTCTGTTGGAGAGGTTGTGAGGAAACAAGCCTCTCTCATCCACTTCTGGTAGAAATACAAATTGGTACAACCTTCATGCAGAAAAATTTGGCAATTTTAAAAATGCATTTACCTTCCGACATAACATTCTTAGCTCTAGGAACATACCCACAATATGAAAATGCATGTTTTTCATATTTTCTTTGCAACATTGTAAATGTAAAATATGAAAAATAATCTATATACCCATACATTGATGTATGGTTGAATAAATTGATTACCCAAATGAAATACTATAAAGTTTGTTTTGTTTTAAATGAAGATTTTAATGAACAGATTTGCAGTGATTTCCAGGATATATTTTTAATGAAAAAAGCAAAGTTCATAAAAGCATCTAGGGAATGCTAAATTTTGAATTAAAAAAAGGAAATAACAAAATGTACATACATGTGTGCATTTGTGCAAGTGAACACAGCAAAGATACACCAGGGACTAATGAGATTGATTATCTAAAGGGAATGTATGGGGATGAGGTGGAAAGTAGGGAGTTGCCAATTCTCTGAGATTAGCGCGTTGTGTGGCTTTGACTTGTGGAAAACGTTAATGATTTACATACATAAAGAAAAAAATAATCAAATTAGCAAGAAAGAAGGACAAATACTTAAAATTATATACCATCAGAAACATATGACCAAAATTGCATTTCAAATGAAGTACTACATAGAAAAAAGGAGGGAGAAAGCACAAACCCAGATAACTTTATTATTTTTTTAAATTGAGATACAATTCATATACCATAATATTCACATTTTAAAGTGCACAATTCAGTGGGGTTTTGTATACTGAGAAAACTGAGCCAACACCACCATCCAATTCCAGCACACATTCATCAATCCAAAAAAAAAATTAGTTCCAGAATCCCTTCTTCTCCATGGATACCAAAATTCACAGGTCCTCTATATAAAATGGCATACATAGATCAATGCAGTCGGCCCTCCACATCCACAGACTCCCAACTACAAATAAAAAATATAGGTATTCATTAAAAGGATCTGCATATTAAGTGGATCCATGCAATTCAAACCCGTGCTGTTCAAGAAGCAACTATATTTACTTTTGTTTATTCAATCATATGTTGGGTGCTTGTTTCCTCTTTTAGCTATTATGAATAATGTTACCATGAATATTCATGTTCAAGTTATTGTTTGAACATGTTTTCAAAGTTCATTCATTGCCAATGTATATATCAATACTTCTATCCTTTATATGGCTGAATAACTCCATTTATGTACAGTTGACCCTTGAACAATTCTCTTAAGGTATACAGCTATGAGTGGAAATGTGGCATCATATGAGACTCTCATTATGCCTATGTTGGCACACTTGGTGGTATCCCACAAGTCTTTGTGAATCTGTTCATTTTAGGGGTTTTTTTGTTCCTCAGACTGGATCATCTTAATTGACCTAAATGTAGGTTCACCTTATTATTCTTTTGCCTTCACAAGTCTGCTGTTGAGCCCTTCTGTTAATTTTTGTTTCACTTACTGTATTTTTCAGCTGCTGCTTCTTTTTGTCTCATTATCATTTCTATCTCATCATTGATATTCTTTAGTTGGTGAGACACTGTTCTCAGACTTTCTTTTAGCTCTTTAGACATGGTTTCCTTTGGTTCTCAGAACATATTTAAAACAGCTTATTTAATGTCATTGTTGAATAAATACAAAGTATGGGTCTCCTCATAAGTTTCTATTGATTGCTTTTTTCCCTCTGTATATGAGCCAGACTTTGCTTCTGTATATCTTTTCTTGAAAACTGAACATTTTAAATATAATATTGCAACTCCAGAAATTACAGTCCCTTTCCCCACATCATTGTTACTGGTTTTTGTTTAGTGACTTTTAAAACTATTTTTGTGATGTCTGTATTCTTTGTTATGTATGCCACTGACGCCTCTACTTCATTAACTTAGTAGTATACTAATAACTGGACAGAAATTTCCTTAAATTCTTGGAATCAATACTTCCCTGATTTTGTTGACAGAGCTCTGTGTGCTGGGACAAACCTTCAACACTTGGCCAGAAAGTTGACAATTCCACCTGAGCCTTCATTTCCTGCTTGTGCAAGCTATCTACTGTGTCCTTTCGACATATAAGTCCTTTCTCTAGCAGTGAGAAATATGTAAGCCAACCAGAGATGAGTTTAGGGCAGGGGTGGGCAACCCCTGGCACGCGTGCCAAACATGGCACACCAGTAACTTTTGCTGGCACGCGAAACCCTCTCTTATAATCTTCCATTTACAATTTTTTTCTTAATATCGACTTTTTTATTTTTCAGATAAATT